TTTTTTTTTTTTTTTTTGTAAACATTTATTGAACGTAGAATCTTAAATACGTATACTCGGTAATTAAGTTGGCACGGCGAAAAAACTAATCGACCGCCTCATTACTATTCCGTATTACCATATATACATCATAAATTCAAGGAACTAAGACGGATAAAAATAAGCAAAACGCCCGATTGCATATCTAACCAGTCACTTTATGCAATCGACGTTGCAAGAAAAGCGTCGTTCACGCCGGAAATGTGAAAAGAGCCCGTGCGGGAGGAAAGGGAAAACCGGCACAGAATGCACAAGCTAAGCTATACCGTCGGCATATTGGCGGCGCGTTGGGGCTTTCCCGAAAAACCTTAATTATCGTAAAGTTTTATGAGCGCGCGGTGCGCCGGCTCGCAGGGGAACAACACACATGCCGTTCTTCTTTTTCTCTCTCTCTCTCTCTCTCTCTCTCTCTCTCTCTCTCTCTCAGTTTTTTTCCTCCTTTTTCTCTCTCTCTTTCTCTTGTTTCTCGTTTCTCATATATCTCTTTTTTCGCTCGTTTTCCTTGTGAAAGCTAAGCGGCCGTAGTTTCGCGGCTGCCGCTTGGCGTGCCGGCCAGCTTCTTAATTAATTACAATTAGTTTAATAGAGCCCCGGTGTTGCGCCCCACCGCCGCGCTGAATTCTTAATTCCTTGAGCGGTTAGCGAGACTCGTGCGTACCAACTCTCGCGCTTAATTCACTCCACTAACATCGTCGTTGCGTCGTGTCCCGCGGCAGATGTTCGTGAGGCTGTTTGTCGACGAAAATCTGGATCGCATCGTGCCAATCTCGAAGCAGCCAAAGGAGAAGATACAGGCGATTATTGACAGTTGCACGAGACAGTTCCCGGAATTTGCCGAGAGGGCCAGGAAGAGGATCCGAACGTACCTGAAGAGCTGTCGGAGGAACAAACGGGGCAGGGAGGGCGCTCCTTGGGACGCTGTAAGTTGTTGTTCATCAATTAATCGTCAGATAACAAGTTTCATCTTTTTTTTCTCTTCTATTTTCATTAAGTGATTTTATCAATTGCAACTGTGTGCGCGCGCGTTGTTCAAAATATTTATTTGTTTCGAAATTTAAAAGTTTATATAATGTTGCTTCTTGGAATTCAAAGTAAAAGCAGACGATAGGAGTGGGAAAGGTGGAAGAAATAAAGTAGAAATTAAATCGAGACTTAGAGTCGTACGTTTTGATCGTTTGTTTCTTTTTATTTTCATTTTCTTGAAAATATTTTCAAAAATTTATAAAACTACCCATATAAAAGATTAAAAAATAATTTAAGATATACTCCGTATGCAAAAATCAAAAAGAATTTTTTTTAGAAGAAGTTTTAAACGTAGACGAAAAACGACCAAATGAAAACTTATTGATATGTTCGCTCACACATGAAATCTCGTGCATTTACGTGATCCAAGCTCAATATGAACGACGAGCACGATTACGGTAACAAAGGCGCATTTCTTTTTAGGCAAGACCAACACCAGCACACTTGACCTCCGTGCAAGCCGAGCAGATTCTGGCAACGGCTTGCGAAAATGAGAGCGAAAACGCCAAACGCATGAGACTCGGCATGGATCCGGTGTCGCAGCCCATGCCAACTCTTCCGGCTGCAACGGTGAGTAATGCTCACGTGTGAACGGCGAGAAAACACACTATCGCGACTAGCGAGCAACAATGTTGCTCGTGGCAAACAAAGTGTTTCGACATCGGGTAGCTTGGCATTAATTGTATGTGTCGCAACGTTACATTTGTGCGCCTTTAAAATAAAAAAAAAAAAACAATCGACTAACGCGTGTGCTATGAGCGACCGAAATGCATCGCTGATTAATTTAAAGCTTTTCATTACTGAAGACCACACGTGTTTCTTCACGGACGTTTTACTAATATTGTACGCATAAGACGAAATGTTAAACGCCACGCGTATAACCTTTGAACGTTCCCAATGACGCACAAAGAAAGAAATGCGGAATTTTTATTAATCGAGTAAGTTTTTAGATGACGACTCTTGCGGATGTTTGCGTACTTAATGAATCACAAACTAAAATATGAGAAGCAATAATTTACGACGAGACAGATGGAAAACCCGGCGTGTTAATAATAGTTGCAAGAAAATTGATCAACTTGTTGTGACGCCGAAATCTGTTTTTGATCAAACATAAGTATTTTTTTATGAAACAGCATTTTCAAACAACATTTTCTCTTTCTTTTTCTCTCTCTCTCTCTCTCTTTCTCTTTCTCTTACTTTCTTACTTATGTGTGATCGAATACTGAACATAAATTTATAGATCTCTGAAAAGAATATCGGTCGCTTCGTTTTCCTAGAATCGCAACTTTATTCATAAACGTGTGCTAATCATGTGCGTCACGCAGCGACCGAGTGTACAAATAACGCATGTATTTCGAACAACTCGCCGGCGCTCGAATCGATCGCTATCTTCACTACGAAAAAAAATCACGTTAAAATTTTAATTTTTTGTAATTTTTTCTTATTCAACTATTCCGATTAGTATCATGGATTGTTGAAGTACGGATGCAAGTCAATCGGAGAATATTGAAAGAAGACAAAATTAGATGTCTTAAAGAATACATTACCTATGTGTGAAAAATAAAAAAAAAAAAAAGTAATAATGAAATATAATAAAAAAATGAGATTTTTTTTATGAACGAACGTAGTCTCGTGCTACATTATCGTGTGTGAAAGTTCGACGAGCTCCTGCGCAACGTCCGACAGCGAGATGTACGTGGACGGAAAGCTAGAATTGATATAGGTACCGCGAGAGAGGCCAGTGATAACCCGCGGGTCGCGCACCTCTCCCACTCTCTGATGCGAATACTCGCACATACAAGATCACGCTCGACGGAGGGCCTGCGTAAAGCGTAGCTTGGCCTCTTGTGAAAACGATCGCGCGTGCGAAACGAAAGAATCTGAAGATATTCTCGGCGGGAAAACGCGACGTATAAAAGCGCGACGTAGAAGAGAAGAGAAAAAAAATTCACCGTGAACTTTTGCGCGTCTCGATGACCGGGCGCGCGTTTTCACGCGTCAAAAGAAAGATTCGTGTTGATTGCACGATGTCGCGCAATTAGTCTCGCGTGTCCGTAAATTTCGCGGTGCATTACGTCAGCCATGGCGGAGGGTAGGTTTCAAGTTCGGAGAGTCATGCTGAAACATCATTCTCACGGAGAAGACTCGGGTGAGATATCCGGGAAAATTATACGGGAAAAAAATATTCGTATTAGATCTCTCTCCGAAAAATGTCGGCCTATCTCGCTAGAATGTCGCTGACGTCATCGCCTAATCTTGCGACAGAAACGGAATTTTTTCGGAACAAGGCGATATTCTCTCAGAAATAATATCAACGCGTGACTCGCGATCAACTCCGACGCTTTGGCTACCTATATTTGCGCGCATGCCGAGTTCGCTGACCCTACGCGATACAATATGATAGCGCGAAAACGCGGGAACGAATGAGTGATCGACCGCGGTATTTCGCCGCACGAGGTGCTTTAGATGCAGCCTCTGCTGAACCATCCCGATTCACAATGCACCAGCGTTACTTGGCGCGCACCTAATCCCATCCTTCTTCTCCCTCGATTCTCTTCGCTGGTTCTTCCACAGATTCCACAGTTAGCGAGGCTCGCCGCTACCATCTCTCTCTCTCTCTCTCTCTCTCTCTCTCTCTCTCTCTCTCTCTCTTTCTCTCT